CGCTTAAAGATTTATGAATATCACATACCAGCTTTTTCATAAAAAAACCAGGTGTAATAGGTGCAATCATAGGAATTGCACTTTTCATCATAATTATTATAGCATTCATAGTGCTATATGTAAGAGCACGCAAAAAAAGCATTCGAAACCATCCGTCTACTAAAAACTCACCACCATCAAGTTCAAGGAGTTCAATATCTAATCAGTTTCCAAATTTTCAAGAAATCATACCTGGATCTTATGATAATGCTAGAACGTCATATTCCAGATCTAGACCTAGGTCTAATCCTCTGTTGAGATCTTATTCTACTTTGGCAAACACATGACGATGAATAAATGATATTTACTACTGTTCATAATTGATAAGTTTTAATGATTTGAAATGTGCTACAATAAGTGGTCTAGAAAGAAACGTCAGAAGCACCACGAAACAATTATGAATTTATAATGACGAGATTGCTGTTTGAAGCGTCGGTGGAAATTAAGGTTCTGCAAGTGCTAGGCATGTACTATTAAAACATTGTGTTAGGCATGTGTATAGGAACAAACATTTTGTTTTAATTGAAATATCTATATAATGTTGCATAAGATAATATCGTTAGAATATAAATTATCATAGAGATATAATAGTTTAAGTACCGTTTGCCACTGCATACAGTACCGGGGTCTTATCCAAGAATTTCATATTTTAAATTGAATAGTACCCGTGGGTACTGTGTGAGGAGCCGGGTACTATATATCATATGAACAGTAATAAATTCATATAGTTGAACCCCCGGGTACTATTCAAGAATCAAGTCAGGATGGTGATGAATAATATCCGGGTCTTAATCAAGGGGGGATACCGCATGCAGTGGCGAACGGTAATTGCCTGAGGACATAACAAACAGAACAATAGTATGCCTGATGTTTGTGTGTGTTAACAACTTGGGATTTTGATTGCTGATTAGAAAATAAATAACCACATGTATATTGATTAAACACGATCTGTCGGATCGTTAATAGTTTTTTGATCCATTTATTTTCCTTTTAAAGAGTGGATACTTTGCCACAGTAACAGTTTCGACTTTCGTTGACGCGAAACCTCTAGGTTTTGCCTGACAACTATATCTATTACAAGCTTATATAATTATTTAAATGCTTCAGATCCAATAAGCTATATTCAAAAATTTTAATATTACAGTATTAATGTATCTATATGGGAAAATAGCACCAATTAGTAATCTAAACTGTTATAAAATTGACTCTTTTTACCGTAATACCAACCATTTGTATAATATCATAAATAATCATATACAAGATCTATAATGTTATATAAAAAGAAAAACCAATCAAAATTTTCAATTTCGTTTTTCGGTTTTTCAATTAATCAACACTAGCGCAAATTCTTTA